ACTTGTGGCCGCCTGTTTGAGACCACACTGACTTCCTAACTGAAACGTTCTGGATAAATATGTCTACCACATGTTTCATGAGTATCTGCAAATACTGATATTGTTTTCCTGCATAAATAGCTAATGAATGGATAAAAGTTAATATGCTAAAATATATTCTTATTGCCTGTCTATAAATATTTTAGGTAGGAGTTTTACAGGAATAATCTTCTTGATAAATGCATCTAATTTTAAAATGATTAAACAAGTCAGCTGCTTGCAGTAAATGAAACTCATAAAGAGCAGCCAGGGAAGAGGAACACACAATTTGGGAAGGCTGCAAAATATTTTATGTGCATTAGCTTTATTAATATAAGTCATCACATGATCCAACCTCCTGCAATTTATCTAGTTTGTCTGGGGGCAAGAAAACAAATACTGGGTCCCCCGGGGTCTCTGACTTAGTCATGAAGTTACTTTTGGGCCAGTGCAGGAGATTACATGATCTTAATGTTGTAAGCCCTCTCCTATAGAAGTTCCTGTTTATTAATAAGTACTGTTTGTATTTCAGTGTCACCTAAGAACCAAACAGTAACAGTGCCTACTGCACTCAACTCTGTAAAGACAGTGGTAGACCAGTTCTAGACATGTTCTCCCCCATCTCCTTTTCACCATCTTGAAAGCTTGATATCTAAATAAACAAAACAAGCCAAAGGAGAAGGCTAAAGGCTGGTCGAGCACTCATGGTGCTCCGGTCAGGTCCCGCAGGACTAAAAAAGGGCCAGTGTGGTCTCTATTTTCAAAAAGGGGAGAAGGGAGGAACCGGGAAACTGTAGGCCAGTTAATCTCACCTCTATCCTTTGGAAAACTCTGAAAAAAATAATTAAGGTTCACATTTGTGGGAGCCCAGCAGGGGAAATAATGCTGAAAGGAAATCAGCACAAGATTCGTTGCAGGTAGATCCTGCCTGACTAACCTTGTTTCTTTTTATGGCCAGGTCACAAAATGCTTAGATGCAGGAGTCAAGGTAGATGTCATCTACCTAGATTTTAAGAAGGCCTTCAATATGTTATCTCATTCTTTTCTCATAAATAAACTGACAGGCTATGATGTAAATTATTATACAGTCAGGTGGGTGGCAAATTAGCTTAAGGGTTGCACCCAGAGAGTGGTGGTGGATTGGTCAATATCGACCTGGAAAGATGTGGGCAGTGGAGTCCCACAAGGCTCAGTCCTTGGACCAGTGCTATTCAATGTCTTCATGAGTGACTTGGATGAGGGCGTGGAGAGCACCCTGTCCAAGTTCACAAATTATACCAAATTACGGGGCAAAGTTAACACACCAGAGGGTAGGGAATGGATCCAGGCAGATCTGGACAGGTTGGAAAAATGGTCAAAATGAAATAGGTTGCAGTTCAACAAAGACAAGTGCAAATTGCTGCACCTGGGCAAAAAGAACCACCAGCACACTTACAGGCTGGGAGATGACCTTCTCAGCAGCACAGCGGTGGAAAGGGATCTTGGAGTTATAGTTGACTCCAAGATGAACGTGAGTTGTCAATGTAATGAAGTGATCAACAAGGCTAACCGCACTTTATCATGCATTAGCAAATGCAGGTCCAGGGAGGTAATGCTTCCCCCCTGTGCAGCACTGGTCAGGCCACAGTTGGAGTACCACATCCAGTTTTGGGCACCATACTTCAAGAGGGATGTGGAGAATCTTGAGAGAGTTCAGAGGAGGCCACTTGTATGGTCAGAGGCCTGAAGGCAAGGCCCTACAAGGAGAGACTGAGGGACCTAGATCTCTTCAGCTTTCACAAGAGAAGGCTAAGAGGTGATCTTGTGGCTGCCTATAAATTAATCAGGGGAGGGCAGCAGGGAATAGGAGATGCTCTATTTACTAGGGCACCCCCTGGAGTAACTAGGAACAATGACCACAAATTGATGGAGATCAGATTTAGGTTGGACATTTAGAAAGAACTTCTTCACAGTAAGGGTTGCCAGAATCTGAAATGGGCTTCCAAGGGAGGTGGTGCTCTCCCCTACGCTGGGGGTCTTCAAGAGGAGACTGGACAAGCACCTGGCTGGGGTCGTCTAACCCCAGCTCTCTTTCCTGCCCAGGGCAAGAGGTTGGACTCGATGACCTACTGAGGTCCCTTCCAACCCTAACATTTATGAATCTATGAGAAAGTGATACAACATACCAATAGAGTGAATAGAAGGCACCGATACATGTGCATCGAGGCTGCTCTGATGCATTGTACAGTGTGTCGGAGCAGACGCCATTAATTGAGTCTGCTGGGGTGTGGTAATTACTACACCCCAGCAGACTCCAGCATCATGTGTATCAGCATTCCCATGCTGAAAAATGGTAGTGGATATGCTTTAACTAAAACTCATTTGATGAGATTAATTAAAGTGTCCTTACTGCCATTTTTCAGCACAGGGAGCTCATACATGAGACATTCCAGGCACTTTAATTAGAGTGGCTCTCAGAGTTGCTCTACTTAAAGCTCCAGCCCCCCTCACTCCCCCCCCCCGCCCATTCTCCCAGAGCATGTATATAAATGCCCAGAGTGCCTGACATACCATATTGCTAATATCACTCTTTTGTCTAGCAGGAGTGATGGTTGTTACTTTTCTCTGTAATTCTTTGGGTGGAGTTAGTTAAGAGAGAGTTAGCTAAATAGAAAGAAAAAATGGGAGAAATAAAAGAAGGGAAGCATTCATGGTAGTGTCCAGTGACTGAAATGTAGAATGTATATAAATGCCCAGAGTGCCTGACATACCATATTGCTAATATCACTCTTTTGTCTAGCAGGAGTGATGGTTGTTACTTTTCTCTGTAATTCTTTGGGTGGAGTTAGTTAAGAGAGAGTTAGCTAAATAGAAAGAAAAAATGGGAGAAATAAAAGAAGGGAAGCATTCATGGTAGTGTCCAGTGACTGAAATGTAGACCTTGAAGGAAGAGGTCCAAACCTCTTTTTGTGGGGAGTACATGCAAAGTAGGTATGCAATGCCTCACTGGAGTACTCCTCAGTATAGTCCTTTGAGGGGGTATTTGTGCCCACTAGGTCTTTTTACTAGTGGCAGTCTACATCTCATCTTCCGCATTTCCTGCTCTGAAATGCAAGGAAAGCAGATGTCAAGAAAGACAATAAAGTCTGTATTGTGTTTGATTAGAAGGTATGGCAGCACAAAAGCATTGTATCTTGGACTGTTGGTTTTTACTAATCTAATACAGTATGCTGTCAGTCTTGTGATATATTCCTATGAGAGAAACATAAATATTTATACACTATGGTAATGAAGATGCAATGAAATAAGAAATACTTACTGTATTACTCCTTTAATTCACTTACCAGTAATTCTGAGGTCTGTCATCTTATTTTATTTGGGGGTGGGGGAGAGAGGACAATAATAACATAACTGGAAAGAGTAACATTAAATAACTGCTACAGTGTCATATTTGTCAACATTTTCCAGTAAACATGTGGGCATGATGACCATTTTCTCTTGCTTCACATGAATAATACTAATAATTAATTCCAAGAAATGCATTGATTAGGATTACTATGCTTACTAGATAGCTGAAATCACTCAGGCCTCTGCCTCATGCCATGGGAGAAGAGGTGACTTCAGAAAGGTTTCTGTCTGAGGACAGCAGCACAGATAATTGTCAGTCAGCAGCTGTTTAACACACATGCCACAAGATCCAGTGACCAGTATAGTCTGATATTTTCATTGGAATATCAGAGCCAGTTTACAAATCTTGGGAGTATTTATGTTTACTCTCCCATAACTAAACAGCATGCCACTTTCAAGCCCAATATGATAAATATACCTATTGTAGTGCTCTTCTAAAAATCCTAGCCTGTGATTTTCAAACAGGCACACAGGTGCACACCTCCTCTCAACTTTGGAGCAAAGAGCAGAAAAAAGTTTGATTCTATAAACACACACTTATGCAGACTATTTTCTGCACTGGTTTTATGAATCTGTGACTGGTGTGGTAGGGTATGGTGGTTGCCCCAGAATGAAAAGCCAAATTCCATGATATATTAATTGCTGCCAGTAATGGTACAATGCTGTTGGGCCCAGAATCTTCAGCCCTTGGTCAGAGAAAGGGATAGAAGTTGGAAGGAAATAATTGTAGAAGAAAAGAGGTTTTGTCTCCTTAAACCTCCCATCTGTGGAAGAAAGTGTTCTAAATGCATTATAATACCTTAACAATTTCAGGTCTGGCCCAAACTTTGATCTTGTGATAAACACCCTTGGGAGTAAGCACTTAATCTCGGTCATTCTCCCAACATACTGCTCAACTCCAACTGTCTATAGCTGTAACAGAACCGAAGTTCGGGACACATTAACTGGTTTAAAAATGGTGGAACTCAGTCAAAGATTTGCCCTTTCTATCAAAGGGTGAATGTGTGTTCTGTTCACTACAGATCTAAACGACACCACGTACAGAAAACCACATCATTTGATCGATTCCACCTCCAGCTTTTTGAACATCTGTACCTAGCCTAGCAGAAGAAAAACTTGCAGGTTTTGTTATTCATATTACAAACCAATATTACTGTACAAACATACTGTACCATGCAATAAAGTACAAGCCAGATTTATGAATAGTGTCTTTCTTAGCCACACAATAAAATGATTTGACAGTGCACATTGTTAATGAATGTTGTGCAATATTTCATCCTTTATTTTGATCAGCTATTTGTTCTTAGTTATCAGGTACACATAAGCAGTTTTTCTGGCACTGGAATGCACACATTTGTGCACTTACCAAAGAGTAACTATTCACTTCAGTGTTACCATTACTGTATTCATTATACAGAGCACCTGAAAAGTGTGCTCTGCTAATTTGTGGGATTTGAAAACCTATAAAAATGAACAATGATTCCTAACTGCATGTGTGTTTTCATGTTTGCCATAGCGTACTTGTACCATGTGATATCTTGCATGTGCTTGCTCCTTTTGTCTTGGGCTGTGTCTATATCATTTTGTGCTTCCAGATAGCGGTGGGTGTGCTCGCAAACGTGCTGCAATGTCTGTCATGTTAACAGCTGTGAAGAGGGTTCAAAGTTCTCCAAACCTATTGGCTGCAGGTATAACAACTAACCAATATAATACCACCCTTCAATGGCTTTATGTAATGGCTGAATTGCTGTACTGTTTCTCTGCAAAGATGGGATAAAGAGTAGCTAATATTTCAGTTCTGCTGGCAGCTCTAAGTTATATGGTTGCCATGGTTCCACAATACCAGAATCTCTTAATATAGTTTGCTTCTGAAGATGTCCTCTTTTTTCTGGCTGTATACAGTAACATTAAATAAAAGGTCAAACCGCCTCAGAAATTTTGAAAAGCTGTTTTAATTTAAAAAGAAAAATCTTGCCCATGTCACACATTTTGCCCATGTTCCCATTTGTCTGCTTGTATCCACCTATTTTCTTCATAAGGAAATTATCATGAAGATCTGGTTTTGTTTATTTCAACCATTTTGGAGACTACTGTATTGTCACAAGTAGATTATAGCTGCTGTTGTGAAATGACAGGTCAAAGCCAGTTACATTTTTAAGAAACAAACTTCTTATTTTCAAGAAAATCTTCCTACAAATTAAAGAAAAACAGATAATAAAAAGGGTAGAAAACATTGAGTATGGAGGCAGAACTGTTTGTTAATTAGAGAATAACATTCAGGGTTGGTTTAAGTTATTGGAACTTTAATGTATGTGTATTGGCATCAATATGGCCAAATTTAGTGTAACTTACCTGCTAGGTATAAATAAATGAGGAACCTATCCAAGTGGTATAGTAGCAGCACCAAACAACTGGAATACATAAAGAAGCTCAAAGAATTAGTGAACAAGAGGGCCTAAAATAAAATGGAAGTCTGGCTGAGGGTTTTCCTATTTTCTTTAGTTTTCTTTGGTATTATTATGGTCATTCAACTGGAAACTTTATGTTCAAAAGCCCCATAGGTTACATCTGTAACATTCTTTATAGGATATATACATACCATTTCCCTTGACACCTGGGAACTTATACTGATGTTTCAATATATTTTCAAACCTTCCATGTTTCATGCCACCATATTGAGATTACTGTTACGCTAGCTCATCCTGAAAACATATTAGCAAATTTGATTGAAGAGCTCCATTTGCCCAACTCAGTTTAAGTGTCTGTCAGCAAATATAAATCCCTGTCTTGAGAGAAAAGTACAAGGTTTGCCATATAATTTAATTCCTGGCTGAATGGTACCATGAAAACTGTCAGCCTGAAAATACTTGCTGGAGTATTCAAAAAGCACAGATGAGAGAGAGCATTTGTATTAAATCAATTTTTTCCCTACCTGATCAACAACTTCTGTTGGTTTTTTTACATTTAAATTGTATAGGTTGAAAAAGTTAAAAAATGCAAGGGGATTGTAAATTTTGCACAGATTCCTCAGTTGAGAGTATCTAATCCATGAGGGTAAGAATCCCATTGGAATCAATAGGGCTGCTTGCACAAGTGTTATGCAACACGAATAAGAGTGATAGCATTGGGCCTTTAGAGATTATTGTCTGTATAAATTATAGACTTAATATTATGGGTTTGACATTCTGTAACACGTCCGACAAAGTCAGTATGATTTATTATGGATAAACAGGCAAATTGAGATTTTAAAAAGGTTTTGTATACTGTACTTAGTCCATAAAAGCAGTGATGCTCAATAGTGCCATTTTTATGTTGATAATTTTAGTGGATTGCTACGTATTTAAAAAATTGAAATTTGTTTTAAAAACCCTATAATTCAACTTTAAAATTTTTCAAACTTACTCTGCCTTTAAATCATGAAAGCACCCTGTGTACATGAATGTATCCCGTGCCAATATATTGTGTAATATGGACAGTTACTGTCTTTCTTTTTGAATTGTCTAAGAAATCCTACAGATTCCCACATTCTTCTACCACTTAAAAATCTCATCTCTCCCATATGCAACCTCTTTGTTTTTAAATGAAGCCCTTCCATAAGCTGTTCCATTTCTTCTCATATATAGAAATGAGAAGGTAATAACATTTTAGCATTTATTGTGGGGGAAGGGGGGTAAAAAAAACAATATTCTTTATTTTATTTCCTGTCTGAGGTATCAGTGATTAAATAACAGCGCTGTAACTCTCAGAGCACAATATCATCATCTGTAAAATGTAATTTAATTGAGCAATAAATATGGGTTACCTGTGGTATAATATGCTGAGGTGCATTTAGGTAACAGAGAGGAAAATGTGAATATAGAACAGTTAGCTTGTGTTTTATAGGTCTTTTCCAACTGTGCATCATCAAAGGAAATTTATCAGAACAGTTTCCATATTGTGAAAACTGGCTCTTCTGAGATTATCACAGTTACTATCAAACTTCCTTAACTTAGATTAATTTTTACAATTACAGTTACATCAACTCCTTTAAAATGGTCTGTGAAAGGTTTTTTAATTAAATCCAGAGATAAAGTACTTAAAATAACCTTTCATATCAAAGTACAGATAGTTACTGCTGTGAAAAGAAAATAATGCTGTTATACAGCTTAAATATTTTTTCTGAAAAAAATTGAATAACTTCATTCTGAGAGAAGTCTAATTTATGGTGGTAGAGGCTGACTCATGTGCAATCTATTGGCTAGATTCCCTTGGTAACAACATCTGGTTTAGACTTTTAAAAAACACTGACACACCTATCCTTTAGTCTCTACTAGCTTCTCACAAATAACCCGGTTTAATTTAATTAGCTGGGGACTCACCCTAGTTAGCTGTTTAGGATGTATGCCTTTAGTTATTATGAAAATAAATTAACTTTATGCCAACCAGGTTTTGTCCCACTTTTATCTGTGCAATCCTAATGAATTCATGCAGAGCAATGGTAGAAAAGTAACAGACAGAAATGAAAACATTCACTAAGGTACTGCTCTTAGGTCAAATTGCTTTTTATAAAGTGCATGTTATAAAAATAAGAATGTAGTCCTAAATTCTTTGCATATTTTAAAATCCCAGCATGGTTAATGTAAGGTTGTGCTGAACAAAGAATAAAAAATCAGGCCCAATGTTGTGTATGGTATGCAGATCCCTAGCCAGGAAAATTGGCTAATAAACATTAGTATTAACCTTGATATTTCTTTTTTAGGGCCTGATTCTCAGTCTCCAGATTCAGGTAAATAAAACATATTTTCTCATGCATAAGTATAATAGTATTGTAAGTGGTTGAATAATAGCAATCTTCTAGTCATCCAAATAGACACTAATGCAATATGCAAACCTTATTGATTTTTGCAAAGTACCTTGGGTAAAACCCATAATTGTGATCAGTGGGTGAGCAACCATCTGTCTTAAGTATCAAAACTGTTAGTGTTTTGTCCAGCATTTAGTTAAATATCATGTATGACACGCAGTCGGTTCTGATCATCCTTCAGTGGATTGCATGACAGAGGCTCACCAATAAGTACAGCCCACTCAAAAGCAAAATACAGCATGGCGTAACAGTTTACAGCATCACTACACAACAGTATAGGACAGAAACTCATAACTCATAGTCATACAGGGCTAAAATACTAGGGATGGAAGACCAGATAAGTGTAGTTGAAATACTAAAGTCAACACCTATGCACTGATAAAGAACTGCAATAGAATTTTTGATAATTGTAAGGTCCCCTCTACATGTTACATGTATCACACAATTAACTGATTAATTGCACAATTAATTTAGAATGGCGACATGTGCAAGTAACTATCACACCATAAAAGGTACATCCAGCTATAAAGTTATAGCTGGAAAATGTGTAAAAACTTTATAGATGGTTTATATCCAGCTTTAGTTTGCCTATGTAGCAAAATAGTTATGCCCCTGTGGCTGAGAGGCCCATCAGTTGTTGGACATGTAGCTGTGGGAATTTGCTGCTTGCTGGTGCGAGAGGAGCCCAGGGTGGTGATTAGATCTGCTGGATTCCACAGTCACCTCCTGCCATACTAGTGTGGCACAACTGGAGGCCCAGCTGTGTGGATCACACATCAAATCACATCACACCTTTACCTGAAAATCTAGAGGGACCCTAAGTGACAGCACTTCCAGCAGCACTGAATAGTTTTGGCTATAAACCAACTTGGGAAGAGTACAGCCTTTTTCACTACCACTATTGGTTTCAAAAGAACTGCCAAAGAGCTCTCATAGAGCATACATAACCCTGTCATCCCCCTGAGTACACTGCATGCATATCTCTCTTCCCTACCTATTATCTCCAAGTCCGTTAAATCAGGGATTGTGTTTTTCTGTGTATTTGGACAATGCCTAGCATAAGGAGGAGCAAAAATCAAGAGTTCTGCAATTAAGAGTATCCAGTGATCCAGATTCTCCTGGCTGGCAGGTGGAAGATGAATTCAGCCTGGGAACAAAGGCTCAAAATATTTAAACAGCTTACCAAAGATTGTGGTGAATTCTCCTTCACTGAAAACCTTTAAATCAAGTGTGGTCATTCTAGTGGAAGAGATGCTCTAGCTCAGCACAAGATAACTTGAAGTAGGAATTAATGAATGTCCTAAGGGCTGCATACCCAGGGGCTAAATTAGCCCCTTCTGGCCTTAAAATCTGTGCATCTGTGAATATGAGAACTACTGAATTAACGCTAATACTGATCAAGCCTGACCACTTGAATTTGTCAGATCTGACAAGCTTAGAGCTTGAGAAGCTGTAGTTTACTTATATGACTAATTTAAATGCCTATATTAACAGTAAAAGTAGGAAGATTTTTAATAGTAACATAGATACATAGGAACTGTTTATCAAAAATGTGTTTTTTTCTTTTTTCCCCCTTAAAAGCTTGGAGATCTTATAATGATGGTAGTAGAGAGACATTGAATGGAGATGCTAGCAGTTCATCTCTTGCGGCAAAAGGCTTTAGAAGTGTCCGGCCAAACCTACAAGAGAAAAAATCACCAACTCAGGTAAAACTGCATACACTGTTTCACCCACTGGTATTATACATGAGTAAGCTTAAAGATGTACAATATGCAGATGTCGTGCCCTATGGTGCATTGGCCAGATGTTTTCCTGTCATTAAGTATTGCTTATCTGTACAGCAGCTATAGATATAGTATACACTGCCCAAGGTGTATCTGTGTCTGCTGATTCACAAGCTACTTTCCAAGAGTAAAACTTTCAGTTAATAAAAATAAATTTTAAAAAAAAAGCCTTATGATGGTTTCAGGCTTCAAAGGCTATTGACTAATGCTTTATATTCCAAAGAAAGCATTCTTCATGGAATATGTGATAGCTGATGATAAAGTTTTATTAGATTAATTAGAAGTTAGGTAGAAGTACTGTTCTGCTGATTTTTGCAACTAAATATAACAACTATACTGAACACCATGAAACAATTTGTCTTAATTTAGAAATGCATTTATCTGTCAAAAAAGGATTAAAGTTACATTTGAATAGCACTTGCATTTCTATTTTAATTCAAAAACTTTAAAAGTATATGTGTATAAATGCTACGTATAAATAGCAGCTTGTCAACTAAAATTATAAGAATGCATTTTATGATATGTGAAAAAGCTTTTAAAAAAATTGATGGTAATAATTCTTATACAATAATGTCGATGCAAAGTAAAAATGTATTATCCTGGCCTCTGTTTTAATTGCAATTTGTGCTCTCTATCAACAAATGGATTCTCTGTTTTTTCTAAATGTCAAATTTAAAATTGAGTGCAGTGAAGTGTAGTGGGGATCTGATTCAGTCTTTCTTTTGACTTAAATGATATTTGGGATAAGCTCCAATTCTTTTGTTTAAAATGACAAGCCTAATTCGAGTTACTTTTCCTGCTAACGTTTACTTTCTCTCTGTTTTTCCTTTAATCTTGTTTTGCTGTGTGTGGATGCTTTTGGCAAATAAGGCACCTCAGCCACCCCCTAGAAAAGAAAGTTTTTGGAGAACAGAAATAACTAATCTCAAAACAAACAGAATTAATTTGCAGTCAGTAACAATCAAGCCAACTAAAAACCTTCCTTCAGATACTGTCTACTGTACTAACAAGGAGACTGTCCAGAAGACAATGTCTTCTAAAACATCTAACACAAGTGCACAAACAATCACTAAACCACTGGTCTCAGTCTCCAGTGAAAGCACAAGCACCATAGCTGGCTTTAGTGCTAGTCTTCATCAAGGGCACAGACAAGGGTCTCAGAAACGTAGAATTTCTGCCCTAAAATTAACCCGGACACAAGACCCAACAAATAGCATTCCTTGTAATACACAGCAACAGCCTGAGCCTGTTGAAATGCCAGCATTTCCACAAAGACCTGCCTCACCTACCTATAACTCTGTGCCTGAGATACACACAGCATCTCTTTCCATTCAGATAGCTCCTAACTTTGACAATAAAGCAGAGCCTGAAATCCAAGAACATCCACCTAAGCTTTCTCCAGACACTTCAAAGATGCCTTCAAAGGATATGGGACAAAAGTCTACAGTTCCTTCTTCTGCACAGTCTGCAGAATGCCATGTGGTATATTAAACTTTTCCATCTTTTGTTTTAGACCTTTCCTGCATTGCTTAAACTGTCTGTTTAGTATACTCCCATCACCAAGACTAGAACTTGTGATTTCTGGGTAAAACTACCTGCCACATCATTCAAAATAAAACTGAACAATTAAATATTTTTAAAAGGGAATTGCAGAAAAAAAAAATACTGACCTTAAGTGGGAGGACAGGTTTAAATTACATGTTGGAAATAAATTATCTTGGTCATCATATTGTATAGATGGTAATTATACACAATAGGAAGTTGTATTAGTCAGAGGGAAGTGGCACAGTCCCTAAGTGGCACTCCCTGTTACACAGGCATTGTGCCTCTACCACCAATAGAAGGGAATATTGGGAACTGGTTCCTGTTAGATCTTTGAAATATTGTTGCTTCTATGCTCCTCACCTCTCTGTAACCAAATTTACAGCTTCCCTGTGCACCGAAGATAAGTAAGAAGAGTTATTGTGTCAGCAGCCTCCTCTGTTCAAGAACAGATAAATTGTGACCTGTCTCTTCTAAGTTGTGTTCTTTCCAAATGCATTTATTAAGTCTGAGGTTCTTGTCATATTCATCTCAGGTCTTATGAGTATAAAAGGGTGTCAAACATGAGGGAGATGTCAAAGATGTCAGCTTCTCAGGGACTATGCTTTGGGAGAGGCTGGCATTTTTGGGTGCGCACAACAGAATAATAATAATGGTATCACTTTGTGTAACTGAGTGAATTATGCCCATTTTTAAAAAATGCTTGAGATAGTAAACCTAATTTTCACTGTCTGGCAGACACATGTCCTATCACATACCTGTAATACAGAACACAGAAAGGAAATTATTTCAGGTCACTTTTGGTCATTTCTTTAAAAAAAAAAAAAAAAAGGGTATAAAATATATCATATAATTATAGAGGTCCTTTAGACCTCTGCTTTGTTTCAGTTTTATTAAGCCTTTTTTAAGCTTAGTTCTTATTAGGGACAAGCAGAGATATTTCAGTATTATGGAGATATTATGATTTCCATTGGACTGCAAATCAGTCATAATAATTTAACATGCAGTTTACTGCATAAAATACATGCAATGTACATGAACTATGCACATCCATGAACATATTTTTCCATTAAATAAGGACACATACTATATACAATTTCACTGTATATCATCATAGTTTGTTACAGAGGATACATATTAAACAGTTTGCTTATTACCTCTTAACATCTGGAAAACCTACCACTGAATGCTATTACTGCTGTTGCTAAATATATGTGATATTTCCTTGTATCATGTCATTATTTGCACTTGCTTTCCACTTTGTGAAACTTATTTCAACATTCAGAGTGGAAGTTTTTAAAAAATAGTAGCTTTTTCCAGTAGTTGTACTGGAATTAAAACCTAGATCGAAACATTGCTAAATAAGGAAAGTCCAGACCAAAACTTTGCAGCTCAGGCTAAACTATTTTTTAAAATGAATTCTTTGCAGAGACAAGCTCATAGGAAACAAAGGCATTCAACATTATGCATTGTTATTTTATAATTCTACAATTTTATAACTCCTCCTTATTATGGACATTTCAAGTTAACATATCCAGTCAAAATTATATAGGGTACATGCAAAACTGATGGGATTCTGAGAGGCATAATCAACATTATCTTTTGCATATTTAATGATCTAGCTGATATTACAAACTTGTCTACTAGTCTGTATGTGATACAGAAATCTATTGAAAGGAAAAGACTATTCTAAAAAGGAAAAGGACTACTGGAGGAAGATAAAGTATACTAAAGGAGTTGTTTTCAAGATTTTTCTCAAATTTCTCTACATTATGGTTGCATCTACATCTTTTTGAAGTAGTAAAGCATGGTGCAGTATGGGCAGCTACTGCACCATGTGCACAGCACATAGTTACATTTTGCCACTATGTTGCTGTAGCAGCGCGCTATACCCAAGGAGCATGCCACTACGGCAATGTAGCTGGTGATCACATGCAGACACACATGATCACTATGTCACCGTAACGTGCCATATGGCAATGTAGCGTGTTTCTAGGTCACCGTAGGGCAATGTGTAGATGATCTCTGAGAGAAATACATTACACTTAATATCAACTTCAGCAGGCCACTAGGAAACATATAAAACTTTCTTGAGACATCAAAGATCCAAAAGAGCAAGCTAGGTTTAGACTGTCTTTCACAGGACTTAGTACAGAACTAGTCTTCAACAAATTATTTATAATAATTAATGATCGAATACCAAGACAGGTATGGTTTAGGCAGTGTTTCTCAGCCGGTAGCTAATGACCCAAAAGTGGGTTGCAAGAATATATGAAAGGGTCACAAACAAACTTTAAAAATGGATTCTCCTTTATAGGAGAAAAACATGGCTTTTCCCTTGCAGGCTGCCAGAGTTCCAGCCTGTAAAGGGCTGCCCCTGCCCCATACCTGCCTCCTGCCCCACACACTGGGGGGCTGGGGCCTGGGGGCAGCAGGTCATGAGTGAGGGGCACTGAATCGGGACTGGCCATCAATGTTTACAAAAGGGTCCTGGTACAAAAAAGGTTGAGAACCACTGGTTTAGAGTAGTCTATCTTTGACAGTAAAGCAGAGCCTGAAGAATTTGGCATCGTCAGTTCTGGATCACTGCTTTTCACCATGAGGTAAAAATGCCAACATCTTCATTTCTTGGAGTCAGGGCAATATTAGTAATTTGGTGGCCTCACTGTTTCAGTTATAATTGCACTGTTTATTGCTGCTGATTTAGAAAGATTTTCATCCAAATGAGTAAATTCAATTCAAGTTCAATTCATGTGACACCAACAGTGAGGAAATTGTGTCAAGTCCAGTAATGAAAATTCTGCTGTCTCCAACATCTGCTATAGCCAAATACAGGGATTACAGGAGACAAGCAGGTGTTTAGACTTTTAAGTGTACATGATGAAGCATGCTACCACATGTTGAAAGATGTGTCAATGTGGACAATACAAATAATAGCCTGACAAATTTTTCTCCTCTATATTACAATACAAGTATTCCTTCTGTCCATCATCTAAGGCCCCACATACATTTATTTAAATAAGTAGAAGAGTCTCTTTTAAATAGAAGAGTCTCTTCTACCCTGTTGATCAGAGTACTATTCCACTAATTAACAAATGTATTATCCTGAAATAATCTGTTTACACCCATGTGATCCAAAGTATTTGTCCAAAATATAATAATCAAAGTGACTCAGAAACATTTACCTTCTGTTTTCCTAGAAGCACTGAGAGAAAAAGACTGATTTTGCAGCATTTTCTAAATATTACAACCTGGTCTATATGGGCTGACAAAGAATTGAGAATGAAAAGCAGTATTCTTTCATGGTCTGATAATTCTATTCTTTTCTGCCACCTTCTTATTTCATGGTGAGGAGAGTCAGATATTTGTTAATTCTTGATTAAAGTGATGAAAAGTAGGGCTGACCCCCCAGGGACGGTTCCAGCTATAATCAGCTTTTCAAAGTACATTTACCTATTGATCTCTTGCCTGCAAAAGTTTGGTTGCCAAATCCATCCTAATTTTCAAGATTGGAATAATTTCTAAATACTGTTGTGAAAAGAATGCTTGGCATGGAATCAGACTGAATAAGCTGTCTGAGTTTTACCAACTGTGCATAGTAGTGCCTGTAGAATTCAGTCACAAGCTGCAGGAAGGATGGTATAGGTCTGGCTCCCTCTAGAGTAGGATCTGGCCCTGCTATCAGAAATAGATTTTAAAAAATACTTCTACAAAGACATATAGATAAAATCTTGGCTCCTTTGTAGTCAGTAGCAAAACTCGTATTGCTAGCATACTTAATGGTTGCTATCAACTACACAGTCAAGAATCTAAGAGAGACACCCCAAAAATCCTAATGTATATGCAGTTCAGTGATATTATTTGAAAAGTATAGTAGATCTGGAGGAAACTTGGGATTTTGCACCTGAAGAAGGATGCATTGCATGTGAAAGCTTGTCTAAGTCTATCCCAACCATGCAGTTGGTTCAATAAAAGACATTGACCACACACATCTTTGCCTCTCAAATATTTCCTGGACCATCACAGCTATATCTTTCCAATTTGAAATAGTTCTTCATCACATTCAGCTCATCAGGGAATCTTTTAGAGCTCTGTATTAGCATGCAGGGTGAGCTTACACATTATATTTAGACAATATTAAATCTGTATATTGTTAAGTGGTATTAAAGTTAGAACAGGGGTGCTCAACATCCGGCATTCAGGGTTCCTTACAGGTTGGAAATGTGGTGGTAAAGGAACAGTAGAAATCAATATTGTCACCCTCCCCTGCTACCAAATTCCCAATCCCCGTGCAGCCCAATCTGAGCTGGACCATGTCCTTTTCCCCCATGTGGCAAACTTGTGGCCAAGCAATGCCACCTTCCCCTGCATGCTGGCCAGACCACGTTCCCTGCTCCTGCCCCAAGCACACCAGATTGGACCCACAGGCTCCAGCTCATGGAGGGTCTGAGCACTGTTCATCCTCCCCGAGGGGGAAAAAGTTTGGGCACTACCAAGTTAGAACATGCTGTGAGCAGTCATACATTAAAAGTTAATATTATTTCTTGCCTGCACAGCTCTGACTTGCTGCTAGAGGTTTAGCAAGCAGGGGCGTGGCTAGGAGCAAGGACATCTGGGCTCTATCCCTGCTCTGGGTGGTGGGCCTGGGAGCAGTGCATCCTGGGGTATTGAAGGGCTGCAAATGGCTCGGTTTATCTCCGTGGAGCAGACTGAAGTTACCCTAATATGAGCTAGGTAGCATGGCTCAGATTTAAGTCTTGCGTGAAGTGGTATAACTTTGAGATTCTTGGAGGGAACTTAGCATAAGTTAATGATCTTAATGTGCAAATACTCACATTCTAAGTGCCCTTAGTATGATCTAACCATAATGTGTAACTTCACCTTAATGTACAAAGCTATTGTACCATAGTTTTGTATATCTGGAGGAGCTGGGGATGTGA